TCAGCAGAAAAAACCATGCTTTTTTATATTGTTTTCCGTTGTGTTGACGGAAGAAACTCAATTCGTCCCCCCCCCCCCCCAATTTTTTTCTGGATCCGCCCTTGAATAGTCAACAGTCTGGTCTCGAGATTAGTCATTCTCATGAAGAAATACAAATAAAGAAAATTCGCGAAAAAATTTTTTTGGTAGGGGTAGTAAAATGACGCGATCATGTAAACGGCTTATTTTGAACATTTTATTCCGGAGAGGCTCGAGATCGTGCTAAGATTTTAATACCTCAAACGTGGTCTATTCAACCTCTAAAAATCACACAAGGAAGTTATATCTGTTGAAAGGGAACAGCCAGCCTTCGATACTGTAACAACATCCTTCTTTCTCCCCCGCGTGGGTCCTTAGAGACAATTGTCGTAACTGTCCCTTCCTTTCCTTGTCGACCAACACGCCCAGCTAGATGAAGATATTCCTCGGTATTCTTTGGAACTTCCATAAGGTAAACATGCTCAAGGTCTTTAAAGTCCAACCCTCTGACGGTTTCTTCCGTCCCAACGACCAGCTGAATTTTTCCCGAGTGAAAATCAGCTAGGAAGTGTTCGTGGTTCAGAGGGTTTTGGCTGGCAATTTTCCTGTAGAGTGCAGCAGCTTTAAAACCCATGTATCGAAGCTCCCAGACAAAGTCATCGACGGAAAGATTACGGTGGATGAAAACTAGGGCTGACTTCTGTTTGGAGTTTTGGAAGGTCCTATTGATTGAAGAAATGATTAATAAGTTAGAACAAATAAGAAATATCAATGTTTTTTAATTCAGATGCTCTGGTATAGACATGTAGGATAATTACAGAACACACAAACAGCTGGAAGCTATGCAAAAACAAACAAACAAACAAGCAAGCAAGCAAGCAGGCAGAGGGCGGGAAGGTGGGCGGGAAGGCAGGAAGCAAGCAAACAAACAAACCAGAAAAAAATAATCAAGTTTTTTTTCAAGGAATTAAATCTACTACAACAATAGATCTATAAAGTTACCTGACTAAAACATGTGCCTTGGATGGATCTGTCTCTTCATTAAAATATGTATATCTGTGTCTAATGCATGATGGGATACTTCTCAACTTTCCTTCATAAGAGGGGGACTGGACCACAGTCACATGATCACCCCAGCCCATGTCAACAAGGTCTTCTAGAAGAGAAATGTTGACAGTAGCAGATGCACCAATGAACTGCTTCTTAGGGACCTAGAGAGAATTACAAAATTACTGTAGTTATAAATCTTGCTTTCTGATTGACCTGGGTGTGTGCTTTATAGATCAATGAATCCTGTCTGCAACTAATCAATTTTCATGTCTAACCATTAGTTTTTCTTGCATTTACCAATCCCTGTATACACTCAATTGAAGAATCGTTGTCGGGTTCAGAAACATAGAACATAAAAACTGAGATCGAAATGGCACATGGGAAATGACATAATTATATTATAATTTATTCATTTGCGCCATCCATGCAGTCAGTTTAGAATGCCAAACGCGTATTAAAAACAGTGGATGATGCCATGGGTCGCCGGTCACAGCATGCATCTAATTAACGTACTTCCCATGTGCCATTTTGGTCTCAGCTTCTATGTTCCTGTTTCTGAACCCGACAACGATTTTTCAATTGAGTGTACTTACTTAAGGGTGGAGCTTAAATGCCCTACCTTGGAAATTTGGGCTATTTTTTCAACCAACAGCCTTCCTGATCTTGGGTGTGCTACTCTGTTAGTAATCATCTTTTGTGAAGCTCTTTTGTGCAACGGCAGAAGGATCTTGTCAACTTCATCAACAACAATTCTCTTAGTTTTCAGAAAAAGAGATTCATTTGCCTCGACAATCTCCAGGAGTCTTTTGGGTGTGCCAATGACAATGCGTGGTGGGTTGGTCATATCTTGTAGTCTCTTCTCTTGAGAAGACAAATCTACACCACTAACCTAAGCATGCAAAAAAATGTTATTATTATTGTAAGTAATTGTGATGTTATATTAGGCAAAATGTTCTTTGCAAAAAAAATTTTTTTTTGAAAATTATTGCCAAGCTGATGCCACCACTGCAAGAAGCAACATGGATATGAGGGAGAAGTTGAAACAGCCATGGATATTCTGAGAATCGAAATGGGACCTCTAGCTCCAAAGACCACACTCTAACCATCTGAGCTATGCCTGCTCCATTCTGGCCATTTTTTTTCAGAATATGATTTTTCCATGGTCCTCTGCTTACCCACAATACAAAGACCAAGAGGAAAAACTTTCAATTGTTTATTTTCTCTATTTATATTATTTGTATATACCATTTTGTAGAACATAATTAACTTACAAAAGATGCCACAATTGATTTATCCCCAAGAAGTCTGTGTGCCTTGTATAACATCTGACTTGCTAACTCCCTTGTGGGAACAACAATGACAGTTCCATAACTTTTTCCAGGATCTTGTAACGTAGGTAAGAGAAAAACAAGTGTTTTCCCTGAACCAGTTTCCGACTTGATTAAGATACTCTTGTTGCTGTAGATCAAAGGCAAAGCTCTTTCTTGAATAAGTACTGGACTTGTGATTCCCTCTTTTTGTAACTTTTTTATTAATTTTGGATGAACACCAATATCTTCAAAAGAAATATCACCCATTACAATATCCAAATCTCCTGACATTTTTTCATTCTCTTCCATTTTTTCAAAACTTGGCTTTTTTTCAAATTGCCTTCCCAAATTCAACTTGCTTGCAACTTCACTAAAGCTTGGAACTCTAAAACCGAAATCATTGTCCTCTATAACCTGGAAAGCTTCTTCTTTGATTAGTACACTCTGCCTTGGAACAGTCTTCATATTAAGGTCCTTGCTTTGTGTTTTTGCTGCTCTTTTTCCCATCATTGTTCCTCGAAGCTGACTCTTATACTTATTCTCTGTTGACTTCCAAAGTTTCAGGAATTCTACATCAGGGACTTTAGCTTTGGCGGCCTTTTTCGTTCCTTCTATGCCTTTATCAATCCCTGTTTCTTTTGTCCTAACTTTTCTAGGTGAAGTTAACCTTCTTTGATGAAAATAACGAGCATTAAAAATAAAACAAGACCTGAGAAGCAATGAATTCCGAGCCAATTGAACACGGCTTCGGCAACAAACCTTTCTCAACATCATATTTCCCCCTTTAAGTTGCTTTTATGAATAACCAAGAGGCCTAAGAATATTCAAAAAATAACAAGCAAAATTTTAAGATTAAAAAAAATCGACATTCTTGAGCTCAAACTCGTGGTGCCTGCAGTTTTCAACAGGCGTTCCTCCAATACGACAATAATGCCCCCAAAGGAGGGAGGGAAGGGGGTTCTTTGACTCAATCCAGAACGACTCAAATGTCAACTCCATTAATTTTAATAATATTGAGCTAGAACTTCCACAAAATTGCAAAAAATTGAAGCTCTAAGTCCGAGAACAGCTCTAGTAGAATAGGACTACACTTAACTTGAAGGATTTACGGGATTATAAAATAGATATGTTTGGTTTCAAAGTGAATGAGCTTGGTCGATACATTGTCGTGGTAAGTCTTAAAACTTCGCTACTTGCTCTGAATTTGTCTTATGAAATTTTGTTGAAAACATACCTGGACTCTTTTTAGTTTGAGACTGTCACCAAGGAAAATCGTTATTTAGCTCTCTCTATATATATAATTACAGTATTGCGTTCATTAATCGCGATAAACTTTTATTTTATATGGTGTTTATTATGACAGCTAGTGTGGATGTTGATCAATATTATCCTCTTTGTCATGACATATATTGACTATGGATCGACGAAAAAATTCACCTATCTTAGGGCGGTGATTAAGGTTAGTAATTTATATCTATTTATTTCTATCTAAAAGCGAAAATATTACACATATTTCATCCACAGGAATTAAATTCCACAGGAAGCCCAATTTTCAAACACTCTTTTCATTGTCTATTACATGCACATTATTTTCATTTTTTGTTTAGATATGTGGAGGGTGCTGGTCAAAGAACAGAGCAGGCTCTTTCTGAAGTCAGGGCATGACTAAACCAAACAACCTCTGGGCTGAACTAAGTCAGGGCATGACAAACTCACAGATCAAACCCTGAAACAACCTCTGGGCTGATCTAAGTCAGGGCATGATTAACTCACAGATAGAACCCTGAAACAACCTCTGGGCTGATCTAAGTCAGGGCACGGTTAACTCACAGATAGAACCCTGAAACAACCTCTGGGCTGATCTAAGTCAGGGCATGGCTAACTCACAGATCAAACCCTGAAACAACCTCTGGGCTG